CCAGAATAAGGAATATACCAGAATTCCCATAGTTTAGGGTCCTTAAGGTAATGCAGGATTTATTATCATCATCAGTAGTGTCGAAACCCCCCAAACCCTAAACCCTGAACCCGAAGCCGGGCGAAGCGCTGCTACGAGCGCCTGCGTTGGCGTACCCATGCGAAAAACCTCAACAGCAACGGTTCAAGCAGCCCGCACAAAAACTCTCAAGCCGCGAACCGTTAACTCAGACTTTCAGGAAACTCCATGACTGCGCACTCCACAACCATATCCTCCCACGCCCCGAAACTCGCACATCACCGAACTAAGGGATTATCCCCGAAGTTAAATCATCTGACGACGCCTCTACAAGTTAAGGAATAGACTGACCCAGGGATCCTGAAACCGAAAGCCCTGAAGCATGACAAATCCCTAAACCCTTAACCAACACACTCTTTGGGGTTTAGGGTTTAGGGTAGACCCCGAAGGATAAAAACCTAACCCGATGTTAATAAACCGTGGAAAACCCGACAATCTGCAATGTCCCAGTGTCCATTGCGCTGCCGGGTCCGATATCGAGCGCGTGGGGACCTTTCTGATATGGGCCGAAGTCAAGGTCGGGGATTCAAGTTGCCGCGGGTTTAAGGCATTTAGGGTTCCGTGGGTTTGGGAGTTTAGGGTTTAGGCCGGGTTTAGGGTTTAAGTTTAGGGCTTGGGGGTTGGGGCTTGCGGAGAGTTTAGGGTCCAATGTCGAGGATATATGTACTTAAAGGCTCTTGGGACTTAGTAACTTAGGTTTATTAAAAACAGGTAATCATACTTAGAATTACGTATAGCCCCAATCAAGGTACGTATAACTGTACGTACTAACTAAGTCCCATGAACCTCCAAGTAAGATTCAGAAGCGGACTGCCGGAGCGCACCGGCCTAAACCCAAAATCTCCAAGTTCCCCTAACCCTAAACCCTAAATCTCCAAGTTCCAAGCCCTCAATCTGCCCCCAGCCTAGGGTTTAGGGTTTAGGGTTTAGGGTATGTGCGCTGCCAGAAGTTCACCGAACGAGCTTACGGTTTGTCTTAGGGTTTATAAGGGCTAGGGCCTTGAGTTTAGGGCTTAGGGTCTAGGCTCTACTTGGAGGTTCATGGACTGAACAAGTACAGTTATACGTACCTTAATTTGGGGCTATAAGTGGTTATATAAGTGGTTATAATTATAGTTACCTTATTTATAACCCTAGTTACAAAGTCCCATGAAGCTTTAAGCAGGGACTGATGGCTCTTGCGCCCAAGGACCATACTATACAGGGCTTTTGAGCCGTAGAGAATGATGAAGCCTCAAAATCCAAGGTGCGTATCGTGCTTTGGGGTTTGGTATCGTGTTGGGTGTTTGGGGTTTCGCTCTGTCCCAAGTCACCTCAACACCCCTAGTGACCCAGAGTTTTATTCCTAGTCACTTGACAAAAAATGCTACGGACTTCTGTATACACTCACCACAGCTCTCTTCTCACAGGGGCTTCGAACAATGAGGGACTCTAAATACCAGGAACTCTTGTGCGACATAGCTGTCGTCGCTTGTGTGTACCCTGAGCCTTAAGCCCCTGAACCCTAAACCCAAAGCCCCTAATGTCGGGGCCTTAATAATTAGAATTGGGTTTGAGGGTTTGGTATACTATAAATATAACAAGGAACCACCAAACTAGTGTTGGTAATTATTTAGGCTCCTATAGTACGTATCTCAGAATCCTAAAACCCTAAACCCAAAGCCCCTATCCCCGAACCCGTCAACTCCATTTAGCAGCAATGCAAGACTAAGACTAAGAGTTGCGAATTTCGGGGTTAGGGTTCAGGGTAAGGGATTTCGGGTGTATAGGGTTTAGGGTTTCGGGAATAGGAGGGCCTGCATAATTTCGATAGGGCCCTTGGGGTATGTCATACTGTAGCTATATATATAGAGAGAGAGAAGGAGAGAGAGAGTTTAGGGTTTTGGGTTTAGGGCTGATACAGACTATGACGGGATAATGCTGCCAATGGTTCCGACCCCTGTAAGGCCTTATACCTCTCACGGACTGCGCGAGCCAGGCGAAACACAGGAATAAGGGTGTTACACCACATGAGATCTACGAGTCAAGCTTACTAACAGTGTGTTGGAAACCGTAAACCCTAAACAAACCCTAAACCCTAAGAATTAATCTGGCCCTAAACCTTCTAACCCCTAAACCCCTACACCCGTAAACCCTACACCCTACACCACTCGTAGAGTGTATGTTGGGAAATCTCCTATTCCGAGCCCTATACAGAATGGAAGGATTTGGATTCGGTCATCCGGTAGACGGGGCTGACATGCTATTTTTTTTACTGGTTGAAGGTTAAGGGTTCAGGGTTTAGGACTTTGTAGGATTTGTATAGGGGCTTCGCAAGTACTACGATGGTAACTTGCATGAGCTACTTAGCAAAAGAAAGGCGCAGTTGGATGGAAATCCGAGGCAGATCATCCAGGGTACGCTTTATGGCTTAGGGTTTAGGGCGGTTTAGGGGTTAGGGTTTAAGGGCTTAGGGCTTAGGGCTTAGGGCCGTTGAGGGTTTAGGGAAAGTGTACTCTGCATCCTGCTGGAAGCATCAGCCAGGTGCCACGGTTTAGGGTTTAGGGGTGCAGGGTTTAGGGTTTAGGGTTTAGGGTTTAGGGTTTAGGGTTCCGCAAGAACGCCTTAATCATAAGGGCACCCTTCTTCCTAATATTCTGTTTTAGTAAGGAGACCCCAAAATGAAAAGGAAGGAAGGGCTACTACTGGGAGCCTAGATAAGCTCTCCTGTCAACCCAGCCTCAAGTTCCAAACGGGAGCAGTCTTCGTCACAACGAGCTCTGAGCCGCCGACCCCTGCAGCTCAAACCTAATCCCTAAAACCTAAAAACTCTGAAACCCTAAACCCTGAACCTTAAAACCCTAAACTCTAAAACCCTAAACCCTAAACCCTGAACCTTAAAACCCTAAATCCCTAAACCCTAAACCCTAAACCCTGAACCCTAAAACCCTAAACCCCTAAAGCCCTAAAGCCCTAAAGCCCTAAAGCAAACAACCCTGGAGCCCACGGTCTGAGACGGACGAGCAGCCAGCACGCCAACGCTGCTCGGGTTCACGCCTGGAGGAGCATTTGGCAATGGTGATGTAGGGGCCTTTATGATTAAAATTGGGTTCAAGGCTTTGGGTGTAGGGTTCCTGTTAAATTGGGTCTTTAACTGCTACTATAGGGGTTCTATGATATATAGAAGCCTTGATAATCAGAATAGGGTTTTGGGCTCCTTTAAAATATAGTTATAATAAGGAACCCTTAGGAATAATATTGGTATTTGTCTAGGCTTCTGTATTGTTTAGGGTTGCAAGGCGCCCGGGCCTCAAACGGGAAGCCTGTACCCGATACCCCACAAAATTGCAAGTTCGGGCCCCATAGCTATCAACCCTAAACCCTAAACCCTAAACCCTAAACCCTAAACCCTAAACCCCAAACCCCTTATCGGGTTCTAACCTCTCCTTTCGGGGGCTGATTTCCTACACATACGCGTGGCCCCCACCCCAGGCGAATCCCCAGTCCTTTGGCGATCATTTCGGCCAGCCAGCCATGCATGTGTGTTCGGTCGGGATGTTCTCCTGGGGTTCATCAGGGTTCAGGATTAGGAATTAGGGTTTAGGATTCAAGATTTTGGGTTCAAGGTTTAGGACGTGATTTTCATGCCAAAGCGTTGCAGGCGTGGCTGAAGCATTCGCAAACGCAAGCCCAAACCCTCAACTTTAAACCGAAACCCCAAACACCCACACCTGAATAGCATGAACATCAGCTTAGCAACAAAAAGAGAAAGTTGTGTGTCGCAACCTGCCAGGCCCCTGCAAGGATCCAAAAAGTAGAGCCCTGAAGGGGGTTCCTATCAGGTACCCTGTACTAGTACCGGATCCCGAATCAGGGGATTCATTGGAGAGCTTAGGATCTACATGTGTATGGGTGGAAGTATAGGGTGGACGGTGCACGAGGTCATGCCTTGGTCCAAACTCCTGCTTCAACCCATGGTTCTGCTTCCACTAAGTTGTTCTGTCATGCTGCTGCATCGCACCTTTTTCCTTCCCTTGGCACATGTCGTGGCTGCACAACAGCATTTATCGCGAAATTGATATCTGACAACATCGTATCAGTGCTGCTCCACTGGCTTCCGATGCTGAGCGTTTGGACTCGTCCAGCTGGCCGATCGGCAAATCAGCGTTGTAGGAGGCTGCTGTGGATGCCCCAAGCTGGCCCTGCGAGATCAAGCGATGTCAAGCGAACTGACGAACACAAACACATGTAGCGACACATTGCTCTTTAAACGAATACATTTGTTCGTGCACTAAATGCATAAGCACTCCTGACGGACGCTCTTCGGCTGGCCTCACGACCCGAAGCTATGTACACGAGGGGATGTTGGTGTTGTCTTCGCCCTGCCGAAGACGCCAAGAGCAGAGCGGGCACATGTGGAAGTCAAATAGCTCAGCCACAGCGTGGGCCTGCTCCCCGAACCCCAAGCTGTCCAACCGTGCCCCGAGACCCATCTCGGGCTTGCCTTGTAATGAATTTCAGTAGAGATAGAAGGCGGGGGCTTTGTTCACGAAGCAGAACGCAGCGGGCTTTCAAAAGTACCGCTCGACTTTCTGAGCCCCAGCAGCCTGGTCGAGAGCCTCTTGTCCATGGTTCCGTTTGACTTCCCGCGACAATGGTTCTGCTTGGGCGCGCTTCTGAAAAAAAGGTCCAAGCGCGCGCACGTGCAAAAACTTTTTTGCTGAAGCAGAACGTTGAAGCAGAAGCTCTATTTCTGCATTTCCTTAAAACACTCCAATAATTCTTTTCTAGAACATTTGGCGTCTCACAGCTCTGCTTCAGCTTTTTGTTGTTTGCTGATGCCCGCCCCGTGCCATTTTTTGCGGAAGCAGAACATGGAAGCAGAACGCTGCTCCACAAAATCGGCACGCAGAACGCTCGCGAGGCCAGCTGGACGAGTCCGACCGAGACGTCCGAGCACTTCCGCCTGTTCGTCGGTCAATATCCCAGGCCTGTGACTGTTACGTTGTATGGACCTGAGCGACTGAGGCTGCAAACAACAAGAAGGGCAGAACTGACTAGCACAGAGAGAGCATACGATGTTGTCAGATAGCAATTTCGCGATAAATGCTGTTGTGCAGTCACGACCTTCCAGGCAATGTCATGGGGAAGCTTTGAAGGGGTGCCAAGTGAAGGAAAAAGGCGCGATGCAGCAACATGACAGAACAACCCAGTCGAAGCAGAACCATGAGTGGAAGCAGGAAGGACATCGAAGCAGAGCCGATCGGGGGACACCTAGGACCTATGGCCTATATTAAACACATAAGTGTTGGAGTATTGTGGTTAAACCTAAAACTAAACCCTAAACCCAGTGGTCAGAGTTGATGCCCGCAACACAGCAACTTGGAAATCCAGGCCAGGATGTTTACAGTTGAGGAGTTTATGCTTTTGGGGGTTTTGGTGTTCAGGGTTTGGGTTTAGGGGTCTTGGCATTGAAGGTTTAGCGGTTTGGGGGTTTGGGCCTTTTGGCTGGGGAGGGTTCGGGCTTGGGGTCTAGAGGCAGGCATTTAAAGGGCCAGGGTTGGGGAGGGTGCCGTAATGTATCACTACAGCCTCCAAACTGAAGTATGCTGAGGCACTCTTGGTTCGTGATGGCTGTGACTAGAGTTGCCATTCGCTGACACACATCCTACACCGTTTCAATTGCACAATGCACAGACCCTAAACATGCAAGCCACTGTCCCGAAGCGTTGAAAACTAATACCATATATATATCCCCTAGAGTCAGAAAGCCTAAACCTTAACCCAAACCGTAGAACTAAACACTCCCTAAACCCTAAACCCTAAACCCTAAACGCTAACCCTAAACCGAAACCCCTAAACCCTAAACCCCTAAACCCTAAACCCCTAAACCCTAAACCCTAAACCGAAACCCCTAAACCCTAAAACCTCCCCCCAAACCAAAAGTGTAAGCGAAGGAAAGGATCGGATGATCTCGGCAAAAGTGTCGCGCCAACTTCCGGGAAAGACCTCGGTGCCAGGGTCAAGGGCTCCCTTTTGAGATTCCCTTCCGAAAAGGGAGCATAAACAAGTAGATCCAAAGCCTTAGAGGCTAAGTGTTCCAGGGTTTCCCCCGCCCCCCCGCGTTGTGCTGCTTTCTGAGCCGTAATAGGCGCAGTGTTTGTGGTTTTTAAAAGACCCTAAACCCTAAACCCTAAACCCTAAACCCTAAACCCTAAACCCTAAACCCTAAACCCTAAACCCTAAACCTTAACCTTCGGCCCGCACCCTAAATCCGCTAAACCATAAACTCGAACCGATCGGGGGTTCGGCCCAGGGTGTCAAGGCCCAAGTTGCCAGAAGATGGTCTTCTTGTAACACAAAAACATCCCACGGTTTAGGGTTTACGGTTTAGGGTTCCGGGTATAATTCTGAAAAAAGGTAGGGCTTTGGGTCTACAGGTTGGGGTGGACTATGCAGGGATTAAATCCGAGAGGGTTTGGAAGAGGAGTCGGGTGTAGGATCCTCGCCGAAACCCTAAGCCCTAAACCCCAAACCCTAAAACCCTAAAACTCCTAAACCCTAAACCCTAAACCCTAAACCCTGCCCTACGCCCTAAACTCACGACCGCCACCTTACCACTTGGAAGGTCAGGGGACTTAGCAACCCACACCCCCGGAAGGATCCAGAAAGTAGATCCCCTAATTTAGGACCCTATACTACTAAGGGCTCTTTATAGGAAGCCCCATTAATGGATCTACTTTTTGGATCCTCCCGAAAAACTTCGTAAGTAGGCAACAAGTAAAACGTACAAGTAACCTCAAAGGGAGGCTAATTCGGGTTACGATACTTACAAGTCTATAAAAACAGCTGCTTACTAAGAAGGGATCCTAAATAGGGTTCTGAAACCCTAAACCCTAAACCCTAAACCCTAAGAAGGGATCCTAAATAGGGTTCTGGTAAGTTTATACAATAGCTGTTCACTGAGTCCCCCGACCCAAGTAAGGCCTAGCGAATTTGTAGTTTGCACGGGGTGAAGGCCTACGGGCCTCGACTCTAGCGCCACCTTTTTGAAGGCTCAGGATTTTAGGGTTTAGGGTTTAGGGGTTTAGCGGTTTAGCGGTTTAGCGGTTTAGCGGTTTAAGGTTCAGGTTTTTAGGATTTAGAGTTTCGGGTTTGGCGTTTAGGGCTTTAGGGTTTCAGGTTGAGGGTTTCGGCATGTGCAACAACTGCCTCAAGATGGGGGAACTATCGTATCCTTGTAGTACTCCCGAGTTCCTTCGGACGGCGCTGGCCTGCAAAACGTCAGAGACGCAGAGAGGGCCACCTGCTACAGATGCCGGCAGCTTCGCGATTTGCAGGTTCCATATGTTTTTAACTGGTGCGGGGTTTAGAGTTTAGGGTTTAAGGTTTAAGGGCTTGAGGTTTAGGGTTTAGGCGTTGAAAGTTTAGGGTTGAGGTTCATGGCTATTTCTACTCTAGACAGGGCAATCTGCAGGATAGCAACTTCTGGTATAAAGTGGTACTAGAACCAACCACGGCACCTATGACCCTGCTTGTAACTTCACAGAGGCCTTCGAGGGGCTGTTGGGGGGGCTTCGGGCAGCGGGCTTAGGGACTTGAGGGTACCCAAAAAGTACATCCTGAACCTTCGGTTCAGGGTGTGAGATATTGCCTATGTTACAAGTGCCGCAGCGTCAGCTCCTGTTAGGACCTACGCAGAGAAAACAACACCTTCGAACCCCTAGGCCCTGAGACCCTGCCTGAAGGCTGAGGGGGATATTATAAACACAATCCCAAGTAAGGTAAACGCAACGAAGCTACTTATCACACTTTGTAACCCCTGCTATTAATGTAAATTCTTTAAGTTCCACACTGAGCCCTGAAGCCTTTCACGACCCTAGCCAAACGGCAAACAGTCGGTTTCTTGGTTGGGGCTCCCTACAGCAGCTGACACCAGGCATCCTGTTCTAGCTGGTCTGGATTGGGTTGCTTGCGCATTTGAAGCCTGAACCCAAAACCCTTAAAGAACGTAAACCCCCATCCTAAACCATTGCCGCCCGCGCCAGGCGGCGGCCGGTACCACTGAACGCTACCGCTTCGAGATGTGCCTGCTGTGCCAAGCAGATCGAGTCTGACAGACCTGCTAGCCTGGGGCACAATATTAAAATTGGGTTCCCTTATCTCCCAGCGCGCAGCTCTGGCGGCGATGCGACGGCACGAAAACAGCAAGGCAGACGACTCTGGCGGGGACGGCAGCGCTACAAAAAGAGCTTGGCGGACTCTGGCAGGGACACCGGACCACTCTGGCGTGCGTCAACAGCGACCCCAGCAACGGTCCACGACGCTGGCGGGGACGGCGTGGCGGGGACACCTGTGAGGGGGACGGCTGAACGATGCTGGCGGGGACGCGGGAGAATCTGGCGCAAAAAAAGCTTGGCGGTGGGGATGGTGGGGACGGCGGACGACTTTGGCGGGGACGGTCGGACTGGCGGCCAACTCTGTCGCGGTGGCAAACCCTGAACCCAAACTTTAAACCCTAAACCCCTGAAACCTAAATCCCAAACCCTGAACCCTAAACCCTCTACAGGCCATAAATGCCCAGCCTACATCTGGGAAGTTGCCCGCGTCGAGCTCGCACCAGAAGGGACCGAGGAACTCCTGGCAAAAAATCTCGTGCTTCAAAGCTTTGGGGTGTTGGGTTTAGGGTTTAGGGTTTGGGGTTTAGGGTTCAGCAGCTCCAGATCGAGCAGTTTGGGTATCGGAAATCATCCCGCCCACCCAAGATTCCCTAACATTCGAACACCATTTTAGGTCAGGATTGAACCTCAAAGCATAAAACCTGAACCCTCAAACCTAAATCTTGAACCCTAGAGTTCACATCCTAAACCCGAAAGCCAAAACCTGAACCCTAGCGCATACTGACTAGTGGAAATGTTTCGCTTAATGGGTCGTCGATACAGCCCAGGAAGAATCCCTAAACCCTATGATACAAAGCCCAGAATAGCCCTAAACCCTCAGCCAGAAACACCTGTTCTGTTCGTCGGCAATGGCGAAAAAGCCACGAATGGACGAAGTGTGCCCAGCAGAAACACCTGATCTTTTCGTCGGCAACGGCGGAAAAAAAAAAACGACAAATGGGCTAGGTGACTAGGTGTGCTCCGCAGACACACCTGATCTGTGGCGATGGGGTCCGAGCTCCCCGTAGAACTGGAGGGTCAGGGCTCGCTCTTCCACCTAGAGACTCCAAAGCCCTTTCATTAAGGAATATACCTTGAATCATATTTAAGGATCCTATTATAGTTTAAGGCATATTCCTTAATTAAAGGGTTTCGGAGTCTCTGGGTATGAGACCCTAAACCCTAAACCCTAAACCCTGAAGACACTTTATTCCTGCAGGGTTTTGGAGTGTCTGGGCACGGCCTCGGGGAGCCGCAGCGGCGACTCGCCCTCGGGGCCGATGGCAGCACGTCTCGGAGCAGCTCCCACTGGCTCCGGGAGTACTCCCTTTCCGACGGGCGCTTTAGGGTTTAGGGTTTAGGGTTTAGGGTTTAGGGTCCCGGTTCGACAGTGTTTCGCATTACGGTTAAGTTAAGGCCCTTGGGTTCATAGGTTTGGGGATTTATAAAACCACTTTTTGTGATCACTCCCTTGGCGTTATGAATGACGCAGTAGTCCAGTAGTCCTCAGTATGACGATCTAGGGTACATTCCTCAATTAAAGGGTTTTGGGGCTTCTGGACTAGGTTGTGGGTTTAGGGCTTCGGCTAGTTTAGGGTGGAGGATCTATTTAGGGCTTAGTGCTTAATTATAGGGTTTAGGGCTTTGGGTTTAGGGTTTAGGGATGGTTCTGGATGGACAAGATTCTGCATGACCCAAATATAGGATAGTACCATAAATCCCATAGTTTAGGTATACAAGGTCATGCAGGATTTTGTCCACCAACCGTATCAGCAACTGCGCAACAGCCATGGGCTTAGGGTTTAGGCTCAAGGCTTCAAGCCGACATATAAAGGGTTTCGGGTTTAGGGTTTAGGGTTTAGGGATTTAGGGTTTAGGGTTTAGCGTTTAGGGTTTAAGGTTTAGGTCTTAGGGTTTAGGGTTTAGGGTTTAGAGAAGGGGCACTAGCCCAATGAATCAAAAATTAAACAACCTCTGGGTAGTTCGCTAAAGTAGGGTCCCTTTTAGGGTCCTTTCAATAAGGGCGCCATACAATTTTGCGGACCTAAAAATCGATCCTAATTTAGAGAACTATCCATACAGAGATAAATATATATATATATATATATATATTAAATTGGCTTTAGGGATCCTTGATACTAAACACAAACCCGCGGTAGAACCCTTTAAAGAAACCATAAACCCTAAACCTTCAAGCTTTAAAGGAACCCTTCAAGCAATCCAAGTCCCCTAAACCCTAATAAGGCCCCTGCGGCCCCCCTAAATTACCTTGGCTGACTTCTGAAACCCTCCTAAAACTTAAACTTTTAGCCTACTTATTATAGTTCATATAGGAACCAAAAAAGTTAAAGTCCTAAGAGCCAACCAGAAGAACGCCAAGTTACCTAAACCGCACAACAACAGGGGTTTAGCGTTTTGGGAGGTTTAGGGTCTAGGGTTTTGGGGAGGTTTAGTTCGGGTTTAGGGTTTTGTGAGGTTTAGGGTTTAGGGTTTAGGGTTTAGGGTTTAGGGTTTAGGGTTTAGGGTTTTGGGAGGTTTAGGGTTCCAGGAACCCGAAAACCGGACAGCGGGGGTCCTGGCCACGGCGCCAGGCCTCCAAGACGGAAGTTGCTAGCTTTGGGGGCCTTTAAGAAGCCGGCTTTTTGGGGCTCCTGTAGGGGTTCCTTTAAGGGCTCGTAAGGGTTATAGTAATCAGGCTTCTAGATCCCTCAACCCTAAACCCTAAACACCACTGCTTAGAGGGATGAGTAGCTTACAAGTAGGATAAACCCAGTCAGGAATTAACCCAGTCAGGAAACCCTGCCGTTTTCGGGTTTCGGGCCAGCGTCAGCTCCTTAAGCTCTACCTTGCACAGCTTGTCCACCCCTGCATGTGTGAGGTAGACTGGCTCGAGATGCGGCGTGTTGTCAGGATAGAAACAAGCGCCGAATCTGGAAGAGTCTCTGAACGGGCCGTCGGCCCCGAAGTGACCTGCGTAAACAGGCCGGCTGGCGGTGCGTGAGCCGGAACACGGCACAACACCCCTTCAGCGGAGGCCGCGTTGATGCAACCTAAACCCTAAACCCTAAATCCTAAACCCTAAACCCTAATAGTCCCCGAAAATGCGCTGCCAGAGAAGGGACATGGGATCTCCATCGGGCTTGGAGCGGAAGGCATCTTGAGGCGATCGAGATCGATGTGCTCGCAGGCTTCATATAGGGGCCTTAATAATTAGAATAGGGTGTTGGGGCCCATTATACAATAATTTGTAATAAGGAACCCCCAAAATACTGCTGATGGACAAAATTCTGCCTGGCCCAAATATAGTATAGTACCATAAATCCCTTAGTTTAGGTATATAAGGTCATGCAGGATTTTGTCCATCAACCGTAGTATTGGTGAATATTTAGGCCCCTACATTAGGTTGTTGCCAATCCTGCACTCGCAAGCGCCACTGCAGAAACGCCTTCATGGTCTTCGGCTTCAGCTTAGGGTTTAGGGTTTAGGGTTCACCTTCATACTTGGAGGTTCATGGGTAGTTATAAGGCTCCTTTAAAGGATCTATAAGGGGGTTCTACAAGGGGTCCTACAAGGGGTCTATAAGGGGTCATACTTGGAGGTTCATGCGTAGTTATAAGCGGAGTTATAAGTCTATTAATACAGGTCACTACTATAGTTACCCTACCAATAACCCTACTTACAACTACCGATGAACCTCCAAGTAAGGCTTCGAGCTAAAGCACCTGCAACAGCCCATTCATCTATTGCCAACATTCTGCTCCGGGATGACGATTGTTTCTGATTGTCGTATCCCAGTCCACATCACATTCGGCCTCGATCAGGTCATCCCGGACTATCTGGACTGTCATCGGCATGGTTTTGGCACTATCTATGTATGACTTCTGTACGATCTAGACACCACATAGCTGAATCTGCAACGGCGAAAACCTGACTCACATGCAGAGATCCCAAAGGCTCCACGCTTGAAACAAATCAACCGACAGATAGAACTTCATGTTGCTTCAATCGGCGCTTGAATCAGGCCATCTTGGAGTCATTACCCTAAACCCTAAACCCTAAACCCTAAACCCTAAACCCTAAACCCTAAACCCTACACCCTAAACCCCCTGATTCCTCGATTGATTCTACGAGTGACTCCTCGAATGATTCCAGGAGGCTCTGCGCTTGTTTCCTCGATGTTGAACTGGATTGCTTTCCCTTATGTTCTGTCGTATAGGATGCATAAACATATGTATAATATATATATATATATATATATATATATACACATCTATATATATATATATATGGATAGGTAGACATACTTGTTGTTGGGTGTGCGGCATTTTTTGTCTGGACAGAAATGCCAGAGATTGATATTATGCCTGGACAGACGCGTGTGCATTGCACACGGCATCATGCAGTCTGGACAGACTGGTATGAATTGCACCTAATTGTAGCCTGCGTGTTGCATCCCATATTACGAACGCTTCTGATTCCCGCATTGTTTAACCGTAAAAAAGGCGCAACGAAACCCTGTGAAACCCCCCCAAAGCGAAATACGATGAAGCCCATGAAATACGATCAAAACCTAAACTCTCTAGCGCTTGCTGATCAGCTCTCTTGTGCCTCCAACTAAACCCCGTAGCGTTGTCATCCCATAAACCTTGTTGGAGTCTCTTTACAAATCAGGCATAACATACCGCTAAACCCTATTCTAAGTATTCAGGACCCTTGAAAATAGAACCCTTAACGGAACGCTTTCCCTCTAAGGGTTCCTTGAAGGGTTCCTGTAAGGGCTCCTTTAAGGGCTCCTGTGAGTGTTCCTTGAACGGCTCCCCTTTGAGGGCCCTTTCAGGGCTCCTTTAAGGGCTCCTTTAAGGGCTCCTTCAAGGGTGCCGTTAAGGGTTCCTTTAAGGGCTCCTTTAAGGGATCCTAACCTGGTTACAGAAAGGAAGCCTATCAAGGAAAGCCCCTGAGCCGAACGACCTGCTGCAGCGATGGAACCATGGAACGCTTCCTTGGCCAACACAAGACAGGGCTCTTTGAGGGTTGAGGGTTTAGGGCTCAGAGTTTAGGGTTTAGGATTTCAATCGGT